TTTTTGATTGGGTCATTTATTTTTCTGGAGTTGAGCTGGAGGAGTTGCTTGTATATTTTTGAGATTAATCCTTTGTCTGTTGCTTCGTTTGCTATTATTTTCTCCCAATCTGAGGGCTGTCTTTTCACCTTGAGGAAGTAAGTGTCTTTTAATTTTACGGCTGCAGTCCCTGTCCGTGGTGATTTTGGAGCTTAAGATCTTAATAAAGTCACTGTTTCCACTTTTTCCCCATCTATTTGCCATAAAGTGATGACACCAGATGCCATAATCTTAGTTTTTTTTTTTCTTTTTTAAAAAGTTATTTATTTTTTAATTGAAGGATAATTGCTTTACAAAATTTTGTTGTTTTCTGTCAAACCTCAACATGGATCAGCCATAGATCTTAGTTTTTTGAATGTTGAGTTTAAACCAGCTTTTTCACTCTCCTCTTTCACCCTCATCAAGAGGTTTTTTAGTTCCTCTTGACTTTCTGCCATTAGAGTGGTATCATCTGCGTATCTTTAAAAGTACATGATTCATCAAAATAAATAAATAAAAGTACATGATTCTTTTACCTAGAGAAAATCTTTCACTGATAAATTTCTGTTAATACTTTTAGCTCAAATATTAAAACAGTGCCATCTTTAAAAGGAAAAGCTTGGGGGGAAATTTCCAGAGCAAATGATTTTCATTGATGTTACATTTTTGACTGTATCAATACATTTCTTCATATTATTTAAACATGAAAGGAGGTATGTATATCTATATTTAAATTTTGTTCTCGTTATTGCCACATTAAGTTAAAGTTCTTTTTTGTAGCTTTTTAAGGTGGTGTCATGGAAGTATTAATTAACCAAAGTCAAGACTATAAAATCATTGCAGTTAAGGAGTTTGAGGGTTGAGTAGGTGGAAATCTAGTTTAAATACAGAACATACCTTTTACAAATGCAGAAACATTATTCATACCCTGGTCTCTAAATGTACTTACTTTTGAAAATTAAGAACTGGATTTATTTTTGTACCTCAGCCCTTCTTATGTGTTAAAATGAGTTTAGTTACCAGAGGAAAAAAGAACATCTACTCTGATCTCATCCCTAAGCACAAATGATCTCAGGAGAGCACTGCTCTTGTCTGCATGGTTAGTGTTTGGTGCTTAGGTCTCTGGGAAAGGCTTAGCTACAGCAGCATGTGAAGTTATTTCACTATATTGTGTCCCAGTTGCTTCCTATAGGAGCCCTGAGACGGGTCAGAACCGTTGTGCCTTACCAGGAAGTGCGAAGTAAATGCTCCCACTAGAGAAAAGAGGAAGAAGAAGAGGTATAGAAGGAGAGAGTAGAACCAGGGGGCCAGGGGAGATGAGGGGCAGTGGAGAGACAGGAGAGAGATGGGAAAAACTTGAAAAATAGCTAGTTGCAGGAGGTATTGAATGTATGTGAAGGTGAGAATTCAGTTGGTAGGTGGAGCTAAAGATCTCTGGTTTCTTTCTCCTCTGGGGAATCAAATCACCATTTGATTGGCTGGAAAGGAGAAGCTGGACAGTTCTTCAAGAAGTCATTACAGGGCCAGCTCAGTAGCTTTTCTGACTCAATTCTAAAACCTTTTTTCAGCAGTTGAGAAGGATATCTTTATCCTTGTAAGACTTTATAGATTTTAAGTCTTCGTTGACCATTCATGACAGATTAACCAGATAGGCCTGGCTAGGTTGACTGATTTGCTCAAAAACACTTATTTAATACTTTATTTTTATCATTACAACAGTCTCTTTGTCTTTTTAAAAAACTGTTTAAAGGCTCAGACAGGCTCCTCTGTCCATGGGATTCTCCAGGCAAGAATACTGGAGTGGATAGCCATGCCCTCCTCCAGGGGATCTTCCTGACTGAGGAATCAAACCCTACTCTTCTGTATCTACTATAGGCAGATTCTTTACCACTGCGCCACTGGGGAAGGCCAGTTCTCCTCCATTTAATACCTTTTCTGAATAAGTGTTTCTTATGGAGGCTTATGAAAGGAATACAACCAACCAGAACAACTTAGGAGGAAATTATTTCTTGGGAGTTAAGTGTCTGTTACAAAATGATGTAAGCAGAAGCTGACTCAACTCTGCTTTCTGATCTGGTGAAATATAGGTGGCCTAGAGAGATGGAGTAAGAAAACAAATACTAGCGTGACATAGCAAGAGCACTCTTATCTCTTTACCACTCTGGAATGGAAGTAGTGGTATTTATTCTTTATTTGACACATGGGGAAACTGAGCATCAGAAGTTTAGTGACATTGCCCAAGGCTTAACCACTGATTCAAGAGTGGTTTTTGTATATTTTCAAGAATGGGTGGTCAGTCAGAAAGAAGAACCTCACATTTATTTCCATCTTATTGGCTTATTTTTTAGTTGCTTTTGCTGAATGTTATTGTTTTGGATACTCTTTAACTTCCAAGTCACTGAGTAAAGTGATTCCAGAGGTTTGGAGTCCACTTTCAGCAGTTTGTTATATCAGGGGTGTGCTGGGAAGACAAAGAAGGATTTGTTGAGAGGCTCACTTCAGCTAGAAAAGAAAAGTAGCTTTTGCATATTGGAGTGCCCTTCTGTGAAGACAGCATTTCCAGCTTTTTCCAGATTGGTACTGTTGCTCCTTAGTAGGTTAAAAACATTATTTGAACCTGCTCTTAATTATTTAGGGGCTTCCCTAGTGGCTCAGATGGTAAAGCGTCTGCCTGCAATGCTAGAAACCCGGGTTTGATCCCTGGGTTGGGAAGATCCCCTGGAGAAGGAAATGGCAACCCACTCCAGTACTCTTGCCTGGAAAATCGCATGGATGGAGGAGCCTGGTAGGCTACAGTCCATGGGTCTCAAAGAGTCAGACACAACTGAGCGACTTCACTTACTCTCTTTAATTATTTACCCAGAGAGAGCCATGCCTGATTCAGGAGTCCTCAGGTGGTTCTGTTAGTATCATGTTCTGATTATCTTTTTCAAAAGAGGAGAGCTTGAGGTTCTAACATATTAGGTCTAAATTTGGGGAATTGCAAGTTCCAAGATTCAGATGAGTCACTGTGGGAGTAGATCTTCTTAATGCTGCTAGATATGACTTAATACAATGGCAGTGGGCTTTTTTTTTTTTTTTACGTTGAAATCTGAATTCCATTGGTCCCTGTAGGCAGCTTAGTATATTGCATTGGAGCAATGAAAACAGAATTAAATGAGTTGCCCCTGCCTGGTGTGGGGTGAGGCCTCTAATTTTTATACCTGCCACATGGATCACAGGTGATAGGTTGGGATTTACTGGCATAGAAAAAAAATTGACTGCAAATTACACACTCTTTTGTTATTATGCTGCCTGACCCATAGTTCTGGTCCCTGAATATTGTTGCCTTGAAAAATAAAGTATCTGTAACCAGTGAGTAAACATAATCAGCAGAAAAGCTGGTAATATTTGTTTTGACTCTGATAGCATCTCTCCATTGCTCTTCATTGGTGTCCAGGACAGTGATACAGTACTATCATGTATTTTTAGAACTGAAAAATAATCTCTAGTCTAGCTGAACCAGGCCAGAAAATGTTGGTAAAATGTTTTTCAGAGGTTCTGCAAATTTGATTGTGTTTTTAAATATTTGTTACACTTTGAAGAGCCATTACCAAAAAACATCCTATGTTCTCTTGAGATGAATGCTAGTTTAAACAGGTGAAAGACCATTGGTGCCGCAGGCTGTGCTGCCAGTCCACCTTGCCTCTGTGCCCTCTCTGTTAACTAAACAGTGTGACGCTGTTGTAACCTGAGCTGTGTAAAGTCTGGTGACATTGGTAACTTCTTCACTGGGTGAACTTAAAAATTTATGTTCAGTATTTTAAAATCAGGGCTATCCAATTAAAATAAATTTGTATTAAAAAAATAAAATCAGAGCTAAGCTAAATCCACAAATACATCAATACCGAGTAAAGTTACCAGTATCATCCTTGTCCTCCAATTTCA